ATGATAGAACAGTTCATAAATTTAATCTTGGCGTTATATCTTCATTTATAAATATGTACATTCAGAGAAGCACTAAAGAGAATATGACCATGTCAATAGCAGGCCAGACTTCAATAACTGCATCTCACTGGCCATTTGCACATACCCTTATCTTGAATGTATGCATAACTATGGTATTGACAAGCACAAACTATGTGTGTAAACATACAGAGTTATAGAAAAAAAGCTTGATAAATACATTTTATTCTTGACCTTTTAGCCCCTAAAGGAAGTTTGTCTGCACGCTGCAACTACTGAGTTATGAAGAAGCGAGCACTCAGGCTCCAAACGGTACTCTCTTCCATTCATGGAAATTAGAGATGGAAACCGCTACTAAAAGGCTGCTGACTATAAAGGCACATTACAAACTCAGGGGAGGATCTTCAGGCCTCCTGCATACATGAGTTACAACAGATGACACTGGGTATTTTAAAAAAAAGTCACAACAACTGAGAACGACCCAACCATTTCTGTGAACATCTTGAGGATACAGGTAATTTTGTAAATGATAGAAGCGCTGGGCAATAGATTTAGAAAAGCCCATATAAGACATCATTGTGTATTAGCATAACATAGGATACACGGTGAAAAGTCAAAATAACCAAGTTGGGTCTTGCCAAGAAACTTCTGCAGTGTTTTAACCGCCAGTGGCCTAGCATTTTACTAATTATTTTTTTCACGTTTTGTATAAGCTATTTAATTTGCCAGTTTGCTACTACCCATGTATCTCAAGCAGATGTTTCAAAAGGTAACTGAAATGTCTGCTTTTGGTGGCATGCATTGCAAGGGAAATCTCACCTGTGTTGCTAGTTGGAAAAACCTTAAGAGTATTATGGACACACATATTTGCATGTGTAAGCTTGAGAACAGACAAAAAGAGGAAAATATCCAACACCTTGTAGCCCATTCTGGGAAGAGCTTTGCCGTTTTAAGGGAGTGGTTATGGCCCCCTGTTTGACAGGCGATGAATTTATTCTGCATTGTTTCAAACCCATCATCTTTTTAAAGATCACCAAGATTAATTTTTATTTTTTTAGGAACAGCAAAATGTAGTCTCCAGTAAGATTGTATTTTTAAAAATAGGTTTCTTTTCTAGTTGATAAGTGTGCAGCCAGCGCATTCTCACCAAAAGCAAAATGCTGTTTCTGTCCTTTATTCCTGGCAAAACATCATTCCGATGCAGCTGCTTAACTAATAGAATACTAGCACTTTGGGTTAGCAGCCCAATAGGTATAACGGCAGTCCCTGGGTCCACTTATGTGTCATAGGTCCTCACAAATAAAATATGCCATCACTCTTACTCATTTCCCCCCATTCCAACTGAAGAGCAAATTCCGTGTTACAGCCAGAGCAGCCTAAGTCAGAGCTTTCAGTCAGAGGATCCAATTACACGCTGTGAAAGTATCACATGATTTTAACGTCAGATGTCCTATTTTAATTATGACCCCACAGTTTGAATATAGGTCATCCCGTCACAAGGGCTAGCTCAACAACTTCCACAGCTATGCCTCAAATGGGGCATGAGTAATCCGACTGAACCGGTACCCATAGGCCTACTAATATGTTGCCTGGGGACCAAGCTGTAAGATGTAGCACTAGAAAAGAAACCCAAAATCAAATATTATCAACTCCCACTTATTATCTCTGTTACAGTAGCACCTAGACGACCAGGGCTGCATTGTGCTAGGTGCTGTATAGACACAGTGTGATAGACAATCCTTCTCCCAAAGAACCTATACTGTAAATAGACAAGACCGATGGGAGTGAGGAAAGAGATGGATGAAGTGACTTGACAAGGTCACAAAACAGGGTCAGTGGCAGAGCCAGGATTAGAACCCACATCTCCTGACTCCCAATCCAACAGCCCATCTACTAGACCACACTACCTCTCACTCCCTATTAATTTGCCTGTAGATTACAAAATAATGATGGCTTTCAAATACTTCAGTTTCACCTCATGCATCACTGCTGCTCTTGTTTTGCTTGTTTACGATGTGCACATGCATCATCACACTGAACAATCCCATTCTGTTAGTACACCCCTCTGGAATGTTTGGTACTTTAAAATGGGCAGGTCTAACCTGCAATATTGGTCACACCAATATGAGAAATCAGATTAACAGTAGAGGAAGCACAACTAAAAGAAATGGAATGAATATCCAAGCCCAGCTCCGTTCCTTTCACTCTTTAATACAGGTGTTGGAGGAAGAGACTAAGCAAGACTGCCAAACTGAATTTTATAATAAATTATTATTTTCTAGTTCTAGTTATCTCAGAGCCAAGCTATGCACTTTTAAACTGTATTCCTAGGAACAGGTGTTGAGAACTAAGGTTTGCTCAAAAGAAGGTTCGCCCAGCATGTTTTCCCATGACTTCAATAAATCCTGCAAACATTCTGGGCTTTGTACACAACAAGACTATTTAAATCTAGGGTGGGGAAGAATTAGCTCATGCAAAACACAAATAAACTTGTTTCACATTTGTAATCTAAGAGAAAAATATAAAGCAGGCTGAACGCATATTAATACACCCATGCTAGTATAATCCTTTGAAAACAGAAAGGAAATTTTAATAAACTATTACTTTTTGTGAAAAATAGCAGAGTTCTAAGAGCACGGACACCAATAGTTTATTTCCTTAAAGCTGCTTAATGCGATATCAGAAACCCACCATGTGGCAAAGCAGGCTTGTCATCAGGCAGAGAGGATGACATGTTCCTACAATGCCTCTGAGCTGTCTTTATGAATAAATGCATAAGTAACTAACAATGTTGTTTTCTGCAAACGTAACACAAAGAAAGCCACTCGGCTCACATGAACTCTTTCCACACAAGTCATTCAACTAGATTTTTCATTATTCAGTGGAGAATACCAGGAGATGTACACATGGTTTAAAAATGTGTCTCATTGGGTCCCACCCCAAACAATTCACCACCACAAACAAAATTAATAATGGCAGTGTTAAGCTGCAAAGGAATGTTATCCCATGACTATTGCCAGCTCTGCTGTTTATAAGGTAGGACAATTCAAAGTATGTACATGAGGGTACCAAAGTTCACTGTATTTGCGGGATTACTAGTGTAAGGTGTTCAGGGATTTGATACACACATGATGGGTCAAAAATCTAGTTAGGCAAACTCTAAGAGGACTGAGTAAAGGCTGCAGGTGCATCCCAATGTATCATTCACTAAAATCATTGAATACTACACGGCCCATTAATTTATCTTTAGGGAGAGAAATTGTTAACAGTCTAGTTTTAGTACACAACAGGGAGCGTGTCAGGAAAGCGATAGGTTCAATAACAATATCAGCCCACCTGCAATGCTCCTAACAAGGAAATATCTTCCTAAAATAGCATGTGGGCTATCCGTCCTGACTGGGTGGTGAAGGACAGATAGGGTGCAAACATTCACAGCATTTCAAAATCCCCCAACTGTGGTAAGAGATGGTTATTTGTTGCGTGAATGAGTCTAGGGTGAACAAGACAGGCTGCTGGCTTAAATTTATTGTTAAACGTCTATGAGCAAATGTAACAGATTCTGCTTTTATGAAGCGGAGGGATTCTGCTTTGCTTCGACACAGGACTGTTCTCTAACGCTCTGCAATACTGAGACAGAAAACAGAGTGCAATTATTGGCTCAGGCCTCTTAGCTGTGGCTTAGCAGAAGCGGCGCATGCATTGCTTTTCTGCAACCCCTTTGGCCAAATACAGGTAGGAGCAGTGTTGATAGACTCAAAGACTTTAAGGCCGGAAGGGACCATCATGATCATCTAGTCTGACCTCTTGAACACGGCAGGCCACGGAACCTCACCCATCCACTCCTGCAATAGGCCCATAGCCTCTGGCTGAATTACTGAAGTCCTCAAATCTTGATTTAAAGACTTAAAGTTACGGTTGCTGTAGTATAACCTCGAGGGGTATTTTTGGAGGTGGGGTTGGGCAGGGAGTGGGAGAGAGGGGACTGATAAGTAAGTTGTTGTGTTAAAATCAGCCGGTAAAGGACCCTCTAACACTCCCCAAATACATCTTTAGATCCCACTCTGTGCCCTTGCTGGTGATGCAGAATCTGCACTCAGCTGCCTGCAGTCCCAGTGCCAAGAAGGATTCATGAACGACACAGACGAATAACTTGTATGCATTTGAAGCTGACTTTGTCCTGTGAGTAGATACAAATTTAGGGGCAAAGCCTTTCCTCAAGGGTCCCTTGAGAGCACAACCAGTGTGGCTGGGCTCTGGCCCCTGGGTGGAGTGTAGCACAGCATTCCTTTGCTGAGTGCTAACGTGCAGGCCACAGGAGGCGCATGCGCCGCTGCATGAAAAGGCAGGAAGGGGAGTGCAGAGTCCTCTCTGAGTGCATATACCTCAATAAAAGAACGTGGCTGGCCCAGGTCAGCTGACTCAGGCTGTGGTGCTAACAACTGAAGTGCAGATGTCTGGGCTCGGGCTGGAGCCTGGCCTCTGAAAGCCCACGAAGGGGAAGCCTGGCCTCCAGCCTGAGTCTGAACACCTACACTGCTATTGTTAGCTATGCGGCCTGAGCCCCAAGAGCCCGGGGCCAATTGACCCAGGCTGTGACTCAGTGCCGCAGCTTATTGCAATGTAGACGTACCCAAATGTTTCAGCCACTGGGCTACATTAGCTTCCAAGGGAGCATCTCCCAGCAACTCTATGGCCTGGAAGTAGGACTCATTCTCCCTCTGCCTTTCATTATCCTTCTTGCCAGGACCTCAGAATGGGTGCTCAGGCCAGTGACTGGGCATTTTAGTATCTCATTCAATTACGTATTCAGAAGATATAGGTACCCTCTAAAATTAATACAGAGCTACTCAATTTTCACTATAATGCAAGAAAAGGGATGTAGATTGAAATATGCCATGTTTCTCAAACCCTATGCATTCACACATGTTTTTATGTTACGTGTTTATACACACAAACTATAAAATACCAAAACTGCTACTTACCTGTAAAATGTATTGCTTTCCAGCTCTTCCTCCTTACTTGTATGCATTGTTCAAGTGGCAGTAGTCCCTTCACTGCAGTCAAGATTCAGGGCTCTAAGAAACAAGAGAAAATATCACCCCAAAATTTATTACTGTGGTTCCAAAGGGAAATATGACCTTCTTCCTATAAATAATAATACAAATACAAACTAGCCTGGAATTTGAGTTGATTGAGCAAGTCACTACACATTCACAATGCCTTCTGCCCATATATAGACTATAGTATCGGCAAAGTACCCAATAATGTCTCCTTCAATTTCTCATTTAATTAGAAAGGAGACCCATTATTTAAAGTCAGTTTAATAAAATGGATTAGTTTCTGAGCACTCAGCTAGGTACCAAGATTTTCAAAACTGCATACGGCAAGATGAATATGCACTGTAAAATGAAAAATGCAGCAGCTACAACAACACTAGTTATCTGGAGCTGTTCAGCTGGTTTCCCAAAGTAGCTGAGAGCCATAAAGATTAACTAGCCAGGAACATGTTTAAAGTAGCGATCACAGCAGCCTAACCAACAGGGCTGCAGCCTGTAGCTAAATATAAACCTGCAGTTTTACTTTTAGCTTTGTGCTTTCTTTCCCTGCTACATTTTCCTCAGCTGCTGTCCAGTCCCATACGCTCCCGGCCATAAACAGCAAAGTCAGCCCAAGATATTTCATAATTTGTAAACATATCCTTATGGAGGGATAAATGACCCAGGAGAGGATTGGAACTAAATTCAGAGACAGATAAAATTACACGTAAAAACTGTCCTGGAAAAAGGTATGCTAAAAGTCATACCAGGATAGGAAATCAGAAAACCACACTAGAATTTACCAGGAAAGAAAATTCACACTTGCTAATTGCTTCTTGCTAAAGCTTGGGGGTGGGGGAACTGTCAGTAGCCTGGCTAGTTTCCTAGCGCTTAACATATCTGTTGCAACCTCCACTAGAAAGCCCCAGCAAAGCGGTGTCACTGCAATCCAAAGCACCTCTGTCTTCTGCAGCAGGCAGCTGTTCCCAGCCACAAGTCCCTTGCCAAATCTGTGCTGTTTATTAAGCCGCTTCTTTCAGGTTAGGATCTGCTGAAGATAAGCAGCTCTCTCAACTACTTCGTTTTGGTCAGAGAAATGTATTCGATGAAGTATAACAGTCATTTTTCCATCAAGACGACCGGTGCAGAAATATGTGTAAAGTGGTGGTGGAGGGGATTTCCCTTTTATTGTATGTTAGAAGCTTCCACTATCACCCCCACATTACCAAAACCGGACATCACGCGAATACAGTTAGAAACAAACAGGAGCCAAATTATCTATATAGATCTGGGAAGAGTGATCATTCAGGCCCTATATGTGCCAACATGGTTAGATGGTCTGTGGATTTTTAAGCATATTAATTATCCATACTATTCACAAAACCGTGTATGGAATCGGACATCTCCCTTTCAATAGCATGGAGCCACTTACTGTGTCTTAGTCATTTGATAGCATATCAATGGTATTTTTCAATTTAAATACAGAATGATGTATGATGGAATTAAAAAAAGCTTACCTTTTCTTCAAAGGGTATTAAGCAGCACACAGAAACATACTACACTTTTCCCTTTATCAACAGCAACTTACGTTCCTGCTCTTAAAAGAAAAATGACTTCTCTACTGTAGTTATTCTCTGTAAAGCTTGTTTGATATCACTATTCCTGTGATCGTATGACTCCAACTTAGACTTGGAAGTTACTTTCACTATATCTAAGGCCTCCTCTCCACCCACTCCGACTCACAGGGTTCGGATGACTGTTTGGTAACTATAACAGCAAAGAGCAGTTTGTGATGTCATAGAAACCTTTATGAAGGCACATCAGTTTCCTGGGCTGTATTTCATGGGCCAGATTTTTTCGAAGGTATGTGTACATATGCATTCAGTGGTTTTCAACCAGGGGTACACGTACCCCTGGGGTTACGCAGAGATCTTCCAGGGGGTACATCAACTCATCTAGATATTTGCCTAGTTTTACAATAGGCTACATAAAAAGCACTAGCGAAGTCAGTACAAACTAAAATTTCATACAGACTGACTTGTGCATACTGCTCTATATACACCTCTACCCCGATATAACACGACCCAATATAACACAAATTCGGATATAACGCAGTAAAGCAGCTCTCCGGGGTGGCAGGGCTGCATGCTCCGGTGGATCAAAGCAAGTTTGATATAACGCGGTTTCACCTATAACACGGTAAGATTTTTTGGCTCCCGAGGACAGCATTATATCGGGGTAGTGGTGTATTATACACTGAAATGTAAGTACAAAATTTATATTCCAATGGATTTCTTTTATAATTATATGGTAAAAATGAGAAAATCAGCAATTTTCCAGTAACAGTGCGCTAAGACACTTTTGAATTTTTATGTCTGATTTTGTAAGCATGTAGTTTTTAAGTGAGGTGAAACTTGGGGGTACACAAGACAAATCAGACTCCTGAAAGGGGTACAGGAATCTGGAAAGGTTGAGAGCCAGTGCATTAGAGCATAGATCATGACCTGTGCACACAAAAATGGACATGCATTTTGGAAGTCTATCCCTATATCTGACAGGTCACGAGTAACAGAACAAGTGGGGGGCGGGGAGGAACCTGCTTTAAACTCTTGCCAAATGCCTTTCCTGCCTGCATATTTTTATCAAATGTTTATTTTTAACCGGTTAGACTTCAACACACTTTGGGAATGAGCCAATGTAGAATGTCAGAACCTTGACATAACAGAAGACAAAGTTTTATATGCCAGGAAAAGTTTCATGAATAACAAGAGACAAATACTAGACTGCTGATCAAGTGCTTTTTATTCTAGTAGCCTGCATAAAGATCCTGTAACAACAAGCACAGGGTTGAAAGTCTTATAGGCAGCTTATCTGTAATTCTTTCTGTGATAGTAGCAATTAGCTAGATCCATAGTTTTCATAGATCCAAGCTTATCTTTACAATTATTCACTGTCCGTTTATTGTACAGAATATCAATACCAGTCTGGGTCCAATTCACCTCTAGACAATAACCATATGGCCAAGATTTTAAGAAACGATTAATGCTTTTGAATACCTGGATTTTTGGGTGCCCAAATTAAGAAAAGGGGTCATATATTCAGAGAGTCGGTGCTTAGAACTTTCTGAAAATAAGGTACCTTTTAAGGGGTCTCAATTTGGGGGCACCGAAAATTTGAAGCCCCACAAATCACTAGTCACTTTTGTAATGTTTAGACCTGGATATTCAAATATGGCAGTGTGAACCTTTACCCAGCATGCTTATAAAACAGTACAGGCCAGTTCTTGACAGGTAAAAAAGGGGGAGCTTTGCTGCTGCTGTGACAACTAAACACCCTCTTGGAGAGTCTGGGCTAAAACTGCAGGCATGTGAGCAGTGTGTGAGAATAGTGTGTGAGAATGACCAACAGTGAAACTGTTCACACAAAGTATCATCAACTGGACAGAGATGACTGTTAATGACTAAACTTTTTCAGAGAGAGAAATCTTAGGGGTTCCTTCTAATAATCAGGGCCGGCTCTGGCTTTTTTGCCGCCCTAGGCAAAAAAGCCTCCCGCCGCCCCCCGCCCAGGAGCGTGGCAGGGGAGGGCGCCGAGCCTGGCCGCAGCCCCGCTCTTCCCGGCCGGCTGGAGCGCTGGGGGGAGGGTGGCGAGCCCGGCCGGGGCCCCGCTCTCCCCGACCGGCCGGAGCACCCGGGGGAGGGCGACGAGCCCGGCCGGGGCCCCGCTCTCCCCGGGTGAGCGCTGCCCCCCTCCAGGTGCCGCCCCAAGCACATGCTTGGAGGGCTGGTGCCTGGAGCCTGCCCTGCTAATAATACATGTTCAAAATTTTCCAGTTTACTGTGACTCTTTATATTAATGATTTCCAGAGAAGCCCTATTACACTCTCTGAATTGCCAGCACCACCTAGCTTTGCTGCTCTTCCAACTAACCACAACCTCCTCAAGAAAGCAGCAAAGCTGAGCAAATGGTTGATACGTGAAAGCTAAGTAATTACATATGAAACACTTTCATGGAAGGGGAGAGGTGAACCCGTTCCTAAACATTTCAACCAAAGGTTCAGTCATCTGTCCTAACACCCTCAGGAATTGAGAAGTCATTCTGCTTCCAGGCACCAGTTTCATTTCAGTATTTTCTTGGATGGCTTTCAGTAAGCCACATGTTTTCTTATTACTGCGTAGGGCACACTGACTGCTCAGCACAAAGCCTCCTTAAGGGGAATGTAGAGTTGAAGCGGATACTTTGTATGCATACTGGGGAAGGTAGCACAATAACAACTTCTCCAAGCCTCTCTCTGAAGGAGGTCAAGCTGCTAAAGAGGGAAGTGACACTTGTGGAAGGAAACAATTTAACTGTCTGACGGCCTCCAAGAGGGGTTCTCAAAATGTGTTACTTTCTTCCAACTGAGTAACAGTTCCAGGGCTGTGGAGAAGCTACTCCTCTGATCAAGCACTCTGGCAATAGTCCTACTTCAAAAAGGGAACTGGATGATGCCTTCTCTCATACAGCAGAGGGAATCACCTAGACCCACTCGCTGGGCTGCTCCCTCTCTTATGCTTCCTAATGTCCATAATAATATGGGGGCAGATGGGGGGGGGGGGGTTAAAAGTACTTCTGAACTCACCCGGTCAGCCTACTCCAAGGCAGTCATTTGTACTGGCTCCTATTAAGTACCTGGCAATGATTGTCTTGAACTATGTTCTGCTGTTTATTATGCCTCTTGAGTTGATTGACATTCACCCTTTCCATGCCAGAAGGCTAGTCTGCCAACAGTAACTGCAGTTCCACAATGGCAGCTCCATTTCAGTGAGACCAAGGGGACAAAGGATTTCACTTGTCTACACATTTCTAGCAAAGGAAAGATTTTCAAATGCGGGTGCCTAAAGTTAGGCACATAAGTAGCTTGATTTTCAGAGGCGCTGGATACCTGTAGCCCTACTCATTTCAATGGGATATGTTTTGAAAAATCAAGCCACTTATACCAGGGTGCCTAAATACTAATTTAGGTCCTGAACTTTAGATACCCACACTGGAAACGTTAG